CCAACAACTGGTGGAGGCAGATTGATTCCTGCAGAGGGGAGAGCGCTGGGCTGCAGGGAGTGCTAATTGAGTTACTGGCCCTGACTGTAGGCAGGGCTGGAGATGCAGCTTAGGGATCAGAGACCAAGCAATGATGCTGAGTGTAGCTGTCTGGGAGAGGAGAGGAGTCAGGAGGGAGTGAGGGGGGTGCCTGCCTGCCTGCCTGTCTGGGAGATACAATGTGGGGGTCCCTCTTGCTATGTTTATATAACTATATATCAGCATATACCAGCAGGATTTGAGCTTCCCAAGCCTGTAAGTAGCTGTTTGCCAAGCCTGGGATTGCTTAGCATCCCACGCAGAGGAAGACTTAGGGCACTCAGCCTCATCATATTTGTTTGACAAAGGGAGAAACTGAGCTCCCTTGGTGATGTTGTCCTGCCCATAAGACTTCTACGTCTAATTGGGACCTGGCTGAAGCTGCCCTGGAGCACACAGGGTGGTAGATCAGAACACAGCAGGAGTTCTCCAGAATCACATCTCCCATAATGGCTTGAATGTCACCTTCCAAGATAGCGAGTTTCCAGTTCCAGCTCAAGATATATGACCACCTTCAACTCTTTTTGGGGATCCCGCGCATTTTGCCTGACTAATTTGACCATTACCTTCCCTCCTTTGGCTTTTATCAGCAGCATGTCTGTGGTTTATGACTCAATGCTTTAGAGCAGAATTCCCAGTGGTTCTGAGCACTGCCTGTGGCCAGTGCCTACTGGGGGAGTTATCACTACACTGATAGCGTGTTTTAACTGAAAACCCAGGCCTGGTGTATGTTATACTTTTAAAAGGGGGAAAGGGACAAGATAATTTTCACAAGCCAGGGGATGTAGCCTGCATTACCCAAGAGGTCTTGTGGGTGGTGTTTGTTTTAATAAGAAACTTATTATGTGCTGGGGAATGAGGCACTAGGGGTGGGAAAGTGGGAAAGGGATGTCCCTTTGGTGTTACATAATAGCCCATTGGCACCTTGGGAATACTTCCGGATGTGTGGGCTTCTGAAAAGTGAATGAGAATGTCCCCATAAATCTATCACCCACCCTCACACTGGCGTTACTGACCCAGAGAACACAGCTCTTCTAACTGTCAGTGGTGAGGACAAGGACAGAGAAGAAGGAGAAAGAGTGAGTCAGAGAAGGAGAAGAAGGAAGAGGAGGAAGGTGGGAAGGGAAGTAGAAAGGGAAAGCAAGTGGAAGGAGGAAGGAGGGAAGAGAGGAAGAAGAGGAGAAAAAAAGAACAAGGAGGAGGGAGTCCAGGAGAAAGGAAGAGAAGAAAAGAAAGGATGCAAGAAAAGAAGAAACAAAGAAAGGATAGATTTGGGGAGATATTTGGATTATGAGGTCTCTAACCACCACAATGGATTAATTCATTGATAGATTCACCATTCAGTGGGATATCTGGAGGGTGGTAAAATCTTAGGAAGTGGACCTGGCTAGAGGAAGTCTCTCAGGGCACCTTTACAGGCTGCACCAGCATGGTTCCCTGGCATAATGTTCTCTCTTATCGTAGTCCTAGAACAAATGGGGCCAAGGAGCCAAGGACTGAAGTCAGCCAGCATAAGCCTTTTTTTCCTTTTAAGTTGTTTTTCTCAGGTGTTTTATCACAGCAATGGGAAGCTAGCACATTATGTCATGAATAAGCGCTGGGCTCATATGAGCATGTGCTTTTTTTTGTGTGTGTGTGTGTGTGTGTGTGTGTGTACCAGGGATTGAACTCAGGACCTTGAGCTTGCCAGGCAAGCACGTATTCCACTGAGCTATCTCCCCAGCCCCCGAACATGTGCTTTTGACCACGGTCCAGAGCAATTTCTTTAACACATATCATAATGATAGCAATGTCCTCTTGGCAAAGCTCCCCATGCTCTTTCCTACTTCTCTGAATCATTGAAGCTAAGTCTTAGGTGGCCGTGTGGTGTGTATCTGCAGTCCCAAGATTCCATGAGGTTGAGGCAAGAAGACCACAAGTTCATGCCTGGGATGTGCAACTTAGCAACTTAGCCAAAATTTTAGGAAGGGCTGGACATATAGCTGAGGGTAAAGGTCCTGAGTTTGAGCCCCAATATTGAGAAAAAAAACATTAAATTTAGTCTTCTGAGAGTGAAACATTCACTGTATATCCATCAACTGTTTATTTCAGAAGGACAAAGTTTTCTAGACTCATTTAAATTTGTTTTGGGAATGTACCCTGGGTGCCAAGGTCTCTGGGTGGGTTCCTTTCTGTCTAGAAGGCCTAAGTTACTGTGCAGATCTACAGTGGGATTCTAAGCAGCCAGCCAAGGGCCCATCAGAGATCGTTTCTCTAAAAATGACCACTCAGGGTGCAGGAAGAAGAAAGCCGCTTCCTGGGATCAATCCACCCAAGTAATACCTTTGTATTCTCTTTCATTAAACTGTCATGTAAATTACTTTGCAGTGCAATGTTCCTTACTCTTGAAGCTCTGCAAGACCACAGGCTATCATTTCTTACAAGTAGCTTCTCACAGCAAACTCTGCAGTTTCAATCTGGGTTTCAATCAGCTCTACCACATGACTCTACATCCTTGGGTCATCACCCATTGCCTCCACTTCCTGTTTGACAAACCCAGTGCATACAGAAGTTGCCATGTAGGACATGCTCAGTGTGTACTACCATCAGCAACAGACCATTCAGAGCCCTGGAGAGAAACACTCTACACCATGGGCCAATGAGGTCCAAGTCTCTTTATCTTGGTAATTCTCTGGTCTGTCTCTCTTTCTTTATAAATTCAATTTAACACAGGTAGAAAACCATTGAACTCATCTGAAACAACTGCTTTGGCCAAGCTGTAGAGAGGGAAGTTTGCCTGGTAAGGCAAACAGGGGCTGGGTCCACCATCCAGTGTTATTTCCAGCAAATTTTTCTCCTACCCACGACGGTACACTTCATATTTAGCTCTTTTTCTAAGAAATGGTGAATGATGTCATAATTTTCTTGGACTCCAATAACCAAGCGTGTTAAACACACCACATCCCTAGACCAGGAGTTCCCAAAATTGGGAGTGCAAAGGCCATAGAGTCTCTACTGTAACCATTCAACTGTGTTATAGCACGAGGGCAGCCACAGGCCACTTAGAAATGAACAAGTGGGGCTGTGTATTTATCTACAAATATAGGCAATAGTCTAGTTGAGGCCTATAGGCCATGACATGCACACTTCTTCAATGGACTATGAGCTTCTACTTGTAACAATCTTGGTTGTGCGAACTATTGAGCAGTCCTACAACAGTCACGTGTGGGTGTCAGGGCTGAAGTCTCCCTTTTCAGGTGCGATTCCCGGCTTTCCCAAGTGCCACTTTCTTCAGAAGCACTTGAGTTACATAGTGCGTTAGTGTGAATGGAACAGGTAGGTACTTTGCAGCAGGTTCTGGAGCAATGTTAATTGCCATAAGGATAGTGGTAAGATCCAAGGATTGGGTTGAGGAGAGCTCATGAATATGGTTAGCCTACTGTTTATATTTGTAAATTAAGACAGCCCCACTCCCTGGGAAGCACACACAACAGAAGTGTAGATAAGTAGAGACCTCAGAATCTGACCATTTCCATTTACAGGAGGTAAACTGAGGCCCAGACTAGCAGAATGACTTGGCAGGCTTGATCTAGGTTCTCAGCACAACTTTGACCAGATGTTGGTTTTCTGAAATTAACTCAAGTTTCTTTCCATTGAGTCACTACTCTTTGTATTGGGCTTTTTATTATGAACCACATTCAAATCAAAAGACGTGAGAAAACCAATTTTCTGTAGACTAAAAACCCAAGGCCTTGTCTAGTTACAAACGATTGCAGATTAACTTCTAATGTATCTCTATCCTGCTGCTCAGCTCCTGCTTAGTGCCAAGAGAGGGCAAGTGCTCACTCCGTGTGGGTCAGGAGTGAAATATAGGGGCAGTGATGGTAGGTTTTGCCGTCACGCAGCCAGCCCAATGCACTGGGGGGAAGCATGTCCAAATGCACCACTGTAATGCACTGCAGATGCAAGGATGCGTTGACATGTCCTCCCCCTTACTCCTCCTGAAAACTGCCTTTCAGTGAGAAATCTTCCCACCGAGGTTTCCATCCCCTCTGTAGCTGCCCCTTCCCTTTTCAGATAGAGCACCTCTGCCTTTTGTACTTGCAAATGAATTGTGATTAGTTTTCACCTCCAGCCCAAGGGATTAGCCGGGGGACCTTTGATCTTCAGGTATCGATTTGCATCTTAAAGGAAGTATGATCTCATCTGGGCCAGCTCAAAATTCCATCCCTGCCCCCAACCCCCTGTCTGTTTCCCAGCCTGGGGCTGGCCCAGGCCTCCCAAGTGGGGCTGAAATAACAAGATCGGCCGGACTATGCGGAGAAGGCAGAGGAAAACACATTTCCCATTTGACTCTGTAAAGGTGGGAAAGGGACATTTGCTTTCTAAACAGCCTGCTCTGCTATTTTTCTTCTTTCCGATCAGAGAGACGGCTCTCAAGTTTACCTCCACAGTGAGACTGTGGCAGTTTCCAGACCCAGGGTACATACTGTGCACCTCAATGGACTGAGCACAAACTTGAGAACGAGACAAAATCAGGTTCAAGTCCTGTCTTTGCCTTCAGGCACATCTGCTCTGTAAACTCTGGACAAGTCTTGCAATCCTCCTGCCTTCTGGTTTGTCTTATCGCTAAAGAATGAAACCCCATGTGTGTCTAAAGCAAAGGTGCCTTGGTGAGTTGGCCTAGAGAAAAGCAAGGAAGTCTCTGAGGTGCTCCCTGTCTCTCATCCTCTGTGAGTGTAAAGTTGTCCCCCTTTCTTTTTCCTTTTTTTTTTTTTTTTTTCTTTTTAGCTGTGTGTTTCCTGATGCTTAAAACAGCACTTCCCTGGTGAAAGGCACTGGGTAAATGTGGATCAGAAAGAAATGAAGTTTCATTTGGTCTGAACTGCTCTTGTTATTCTGTGCCATCCCTCAGTCAGGCCCAGAGATGTGGTGGGACTTACCAATGCAGTTGAAGGAAATTTCTTGTCGGCAGAAAAGGGAGCAGCCATCGCCGTTGATCTTGTTCATGTCATCACATTCCTCCCCTTGGTCTCTGCATGATGGATATGGAAGAGAAATTTTACAGGTCAGTTTCAGAATTGAGGCTGGACTGGTCAAAGTCTCATGGACCTTGCTGGGGACCTCATGTGGGTCTACTCTCTGAATCTCAGTCTGTTTCTTCATCTTCAAGATGAGATTCATAAATGGCATGGATTTGTGAAACACGACTGCGTTTGCTTTATTTTCTGTTTCCAATGACAAAGTAGAATCTGGTTTCAAAGTCATTCTTTGAAATTTAAAGTCAATCAAGTTAACAAGCCAGTTGGGAGTAAGAAATGGATGAATAAATGGGAAAATAAATGAACACATCTTGCTCCCATGGTGTCTAGAAAACCCTACTGTCATTTTCATGTTTTTGATTCCAAAAGAGTGGATTTGAAAGCAATTCTGAAGGCCTATAACCAAATGGATTTCTTTCACTATTCCCCGTTTTGATGTCCTCCCTTCTCCCTCATTATACCTAGAGGTAAAAATCTTCTTCACTCCCACACCTAGACTTAGCCACTGCTCCACCAGACAGCTTCTTTCCTCTTCTGGATGTATTATTTCATAGTGGCAAGAGCTGCTGGGCCTATGGGACTATGCTCTTACGAAAAAAAAAAAAAAAAAAAACAACAACAAAAAAAACACTCCCTCTTGCCTTTCTTAGAATTATTTCTATTATCTAAGGAAACATTATATATTATAAACATGAGATGAGATTAATAATATCGACTAGAATGAAAATGGAAAAAGAGGAGTTAGAGGAGGAGAGAGAGAAATGAGAGGAAAAGGGAATCAATAGATGAATGAAGTTGTATTTTGTACAGGTACCCACTCCCTGATATGACTGCACGCTGGATGCACTGCAAACACATACTAACAAAAACAAAACAAACAAAAGCAGTGGACACAGTTAAAATTCTGTTTTTCACACACAGTCACCACATGTCAAGTCTTCAATAGCAACATGCCACTTGCGGGTACTTCAATGGTCAGCACAGAAAACATCTCCATTCTTGCAGAAAAACTCAACAGTGCTCTTGCAGGTGCTTTCTGCAGTTTTCTCCTACACTAGAATGCAGACAGACGGGCCTACCATTTAGGGTTGAAGGCAAAATCGGAAGGCAACTGGAAGAGGCCAGCACAGTGTGTAGCATGCAGTAGGTGCTCAGGAAACCCCACTTCCCACTTTGCCTTGGGAGGTCTCTGCAGAATGTGTGGCAATCGTGCCTCCCTCTGCAGAGACCAGCTGGGACCTGTCACAGCATGGAAGAGGGATCAGCCTTTTCCTTTTCCCCAGGCGATTAACACCAGGCAGTGTTTGTTGTTTTTAGGAGGTGTCAGAGCAGCGGATAGTGCCGTGGTCAAGCCTTCAGATGGCCCAGGTTACCCTCATCTCTAGTCAGCCTCCCAAGCTCTTTCCTGTCTGTGAACTCAGAGCAAAGGCGTCCCATAGCTGGCCTGTCCCGGCTCTTCCCACTCTTCCTGTCAGAGAATCTTCTCTGCTGGAAACCTCCGGTAACCTTTTGCTTTCTTCTTAGCTATTTCATTCTTTATCTAGGGAGAAACTTTTTTTTAAAGAAAAACCTAGGCTTGGGCTGGGGAGATAGCTCAATAGAATAAGTGCTTGCCTGGCAAGCACAAGGTCCTGAGTTCAATCCCTGGTACCGCCACCAAAAAAAAAAAAAAAGAACAAAAAGAAAAGAAAAACCTAGGTAGCACTAAACCTCCGTGATTATTTCCAACCTATCACCTCCCAAACAGTATGCTCTATTAGCTGAAGAAAAAAGAATTGAAATTGTCACAAATATCTTCTAAACATGGCAGGTCTATCAGTAGATAGAGGGGTCTAGAGAAGCCTGCTTTGACCTCTGGGGCTTGCTTAGGTGACTGTCATTTTTTATGTTCCCGGACATCTAGCTCTATCTCAGCGATTTTCAAACTGACCATCTTGGGTGTTACTGCTGGGGCTCCTGTACTGTTCTGTGAGATGGCAAAGGCAGTGGCAGTCTTCACCACCCTGGCAACTCCATGCCTGACACACTGTCTGTGGTACAGCAGACTCTACTCCTTTTCTTCTTAGTTTTCGGGGGCTGTCGTGCTGCACAGCAATGCAATGATAAATCCGCATGATTCCATGGACTTCTCTTCCCAGACTAGCTGTACTCTTGCCTGAAGGTGTAAGCTCAAGAACACCCCTGGAATCTCTGGTGTGATCCTTGTGGATACTACCTTCTATGTCTGTTTGGAAGACTCAAAGAGGAAATAATGCGGCACAGTGGTTTGTGTGTTGCAAGGCTCACTCGGTATTTATAAACATCATTAGTATCACAGTATTCATTCAGTGCTTTTATCTTTACACTCTATGAAATTGAGAGAATCAGATGCTGTGAATCACTTATATCAGAGCACTTAACTATTAGGGGTCCCATTGAGATCCGAGTCTATTCATCGTTTTTGTAAACTCCATTATCTAGAGCTAAGATGATATTTTCTTTTGGCCCAATGCATCATTTCCCCTCCCTCCTCCTTGCTCCCCATTCTCCCAGCCTTCCCGGAGGATCATCCCTCAGGGAACATCTGTAGGCTGCATTCAGTTTTCTATACAATATGTCAGCAAATAAAAATATATTGCTCATTTAACCATTTTGAATTAGTGTCTATTCATAGCTGACATACCTCAGGGGACCTGGGGAGCAGAGCGGGGCACATACTATTACCTCTCCATGCAGCGACTGGAAAACACGCAGCTCAGGGGCTCTCATCTGACCAGACCTGGAGCCTTCACCATGTCTTTCAATGTTAAATTATGATCAGAATGCAGAATTCTGACTAAAACTGTCTATGTGGGTGAGCATTCCTTTGTGAACTCTTTATGTGCAGAGATGGAACACTGTGGCTCAACTCTTAGTTGCTACCTTCATCCCTTACGCAAAGGGTTCTCCTTAACATCGCGTATGGCATGGCCATCAGTAACAAATTCAACAGCTTTTCCCTTCTAGAGTTCGTGCGAGTGATAAACAGAAGTGTTTCTCCTTCACGTAGATGCTACACGTATGAGCCAATTCATGTTCTAGAGAGTGCCGATGTCATCCAACTGTGAAGCAAACGCTCTTTACGCTGCCCCTCCCCTGATGGAAATAGTGATTGCAATTCGACGCCGCATAGACATTATGTGACACCCAGCCGGGCCATTTAATGAAGAAATTTTGCCAATAGCTTGTTTTGCCATCCCCACACATAATGCTTATCATTAAATCTGCCAATACTTTTAGAAATCTCTTAGTGATGGTGTGGTGTGCAAAAAATTATATTAACAGTGAGGAGCATAATCTTAGTGATAAGAAACCTAATTTTCAATGACTGTTGGTCTCTTCTCCACCTCTAAAGACAAAACTCTCAATTTTATGCTGGCAAGAATATTTTCTGATTGTTCTGAGAGAATTCAAGGGTTTCTATATTGATTTTTATAGACAATACAAAGGTGCTGATGGCTTATTGCTTAATATTTTGCCCGAAGGACAAGGGGATGAGTGGGATAGTAACCCTTAAAATATATCGGGTAGGCAGGCACCTTTATATTTTCTGGCCAAGAAAGAAGTTGGAAGCATTACACTCAGTGATCCATTTACCTCAATGTGCACATCCTTTGGACTCAATATTCACTCCAGAGCACTGTTCCCTAGTTACATTTTCAACATCATGGCATTTTAGAATACTCTGTTATTGCCAACAGTGATGGTGCTGTCCTGCAGTCCTTGCCACTTCGAGGCTGAAGTAGCAAGACCACAGATCTGAGGCCAACCTGAGAGACTCTGGGAGACTCAGTCTCAAAATAAACTCTGCAAAAGGGCAGGGGTTCAGCACAGTGGTCAAGCCCTTGCTTAGCATGAGGGGGGCCCTGGCTAAACCTTAAACCCATTTTTGACATTGCAGTTTGACAAATATAAATGGTAACCAGCAAAGAGTACTGAAATGTTTTAAGCTAGATTACCTATGTCCTCCAAGTGAGTGTGGGCTATAACAGAAAAAAAAAATCTAATAGACTCCTTATTGTGTTGGTAAATAAATAGGAACAAAAGCAATAGTAAGTGCACCTTGGAACTTCTACATAAATCAATTATTGTCTTACATAATGGAGAAATATATATATATGTGTCAAAAGAATTGTCATTGATTTTTCTTCCAAAGCCAGAAAATTGTATGAAGACCAATAGATAGGCTGCTGGGAATCACAGGAACCTCTGGTCTCCTACCAAATATTTCATAAGCTCTTCTGATCAAGCACCTCCATCAGTTCCTGGCCTAATTAGCATCACCCCTCCCCTCCCCCTTAGTTGGACCCACTTACTTCTGGATAACACCATCACCACAGTATCCACTTCCATGGATGTATATGGCAGCAGGTGATGGCTCACTTTCTTCAGTGCCTGAAATGGTGATAACTCGATACTGGTACACACTGCCAAGTTTTAGGTCCCTGCAAAAGGTAAAGAAGACTATTAGCCATAAAAACACAGCACTGGGGGCAGACAGTACAGAATGGGATCTTGATTCCTCTGAGTACATGCTCTCACTCTTGCTTAATTTTTGAAGTCAAATGCAGAGTTCTCCAGTACTGTTTATGATCCACTGCAGTTAACTTAATCTGCTAAGTACGTTGGAGTCCACTAACATGTAAGCCAGTAACACCTGGCATCCACTGACTGGCAACACGTACAATACGAGATGCTTTTTACTTTTAACTTTTACAACTTTGGAAGGAAAATAGCAGATACCATGTGACCTATAATGAAAGTAAGTGTGTCAGTGAAAGCCACCCAAGAACAACTCGTAGAATGCGCATAAGCAAAGAGGTGAGGAAGTCCACATCAGGTTCTCTAGGTGTTCCTTGATTATTTTTGCTCACCTGTGCAGAAAGCCCATGATGAATGAGCAAGACTGGATGGCACGCATACTGCCCCCTCCACACACGACTTCCCATATTGCTTATTCTGGACCAAAATAATAGTAGAATCCTATAACTGACTTCTAGCTCTGGGATGAACACTGTCTATATAGTTTTTCCCCCTTATTTGATAATAAAAATCTCTACATGACTGTTAATGTTTTCATTTTTATTTTACAATTCATGAAGCTGAGGCATACAGAGATTCAACAACTTGCTTAGAATCATGTTACTGGCTAGCAATCTACATTGTGCTTGTTTTGATAAACTTATTTCTTGTTGTAAAAAAACCCAAAATCTTGTATTACAACTGCAGCTCCATAGGCTGGTGCCTGCCAAATTTTCAACATGCCAAGCATACATCTTTCACTGCTATCAGAAACTCCTGGCACTTGTCCCAACTTCTAATTGTAACCCCAATCACAACTTCTTTATGAAAGAACTACTAAGCAAACTTGGTTACTGCCAATCATCCTCTAAGGAAGATAAATATATATTGATATCAATTTTATTTTATTTTTGTGTATTTTAGTTCAAAGTCTACAAGATCTCGCTACACAGATCACACTCATAGTGATCCTCCCTTTTTCAGCCTCCCAAGCATTGGGATTACAGGCACATGCCACCATGTCCAGTTTCAGTCATTGTCCCAGCGTGCCAGGGGGTAGGGCTGGCCCAGCATGCAGGAAATCAAACTCAGGTCCCTGAATCTACCTAAGCAGGTGCTTTAGTCTGCTGAACTATCCAACGCTCAATTTTATTTTACTTTAATTTTTTCTCAATTTCATTTATTTTGGAGAGCAAAAACAGAAGCAAAAACAAATAGAAAAAAGAGACACAAACAGATTAATATACAGCAATACATATGTTGTAGATTTCCAAAACAGGAATAGCTAACAATGGTTATAATATTAACTATTTTTATTGTCAAATCTGTTGCTCAGATGAACAGATATAGTTATGCAAGATTGATTGATATAAATTTTAAATTACCAAATCTCCTCCCCTGTTTCTATTTGGATCATTTCATTTTTTTTTCCTGTATTTTTAGGGAAGGGTCTACAGGGTGTCAGGGTCTCACTACTAGATCAGACTCTAGTTATTCCCCTGTTTAAAGCCTCCCAAGTACTGGAATTACAGGTGCTCACCACCACACCCAGTCTCATTTGAATCATTGCAAAAGCAGATATTTTTCATTCTCATCTCCCTTACCACCCTTTACACTTTTTAAAAATAAAGTGTACCATGGGAAAAGCTTCACAATGATAACGAAAAGAATTCCTTTTAGATACCAGAGTTGAGGGGGTAGAATTTATAAACAAAGGACCTGGTCAAAAAAATCTTGGATTTTCTTGGCTATCTGTTGTTTCAGCTGCTGGCGGGGCTGGGCCTGCGTGGACAAAGCCAGCAAGGTAACAGGTGCAGGAGTAATGGACAGAGAAGCTCTCCCAGCTCCCAGTGCACAATGAGTCGGACTTTATGAGCAGTGCAGGATTCTAGAGGGGAACATAAACTTGCTTAGAATGTCACACATATTTCTCCCAAAGGGAGTTTGTTTTAACAGCACTGGAGTAGCTACTAATATTGGGGGTAGACCAGAAGTCTCTGGTGGTTCTGGTAGTGTTCTGCTAATCAAGACTAAGCAGGTGAATAAATGAAAATGTTAAGGTATTGTATTTATAAAAGATAGCTGTGTTGTATATTTTTCAGACACCAGTTTATTGATAAGATTATGTCTCTTTTTTATTTATAATCTCTTTAAGAAATTATAATCTTTTTTTGTTTTGTTTTGTTTTGGGTTTTCTTGGTGACGCTGGAGTTTGGACTCAGGCCCTTGTGCTTGCCAGGGAAGCACTTATTCCACTGAAACATCTCCCCGGCCCTATAATCTTTTTTAAATTTAGTTTATTAGCTATTTTATTCACCTTTAGAAAACAAGTATATAATGTGGCTTGTGATTCTCCTAAAACCAAAGAAGAGCAGCACAGATTCTCAGGTTACATATGAAGGTACAAGGTAAATATGACACGTATTATATCATACATTCATTTTATTCTAAAATTGAAGATAAACTTTTTATTTAAAGACTACAGTTCTGTTAGAGAACAGAATAATAAATTTTCTTCAGGCTGCATCTCAGGGCAGTCCTGGCACGCGGTCCCTGTCTGTGCTCATGCCAGTGTGAAAGATACATTTCTGCATTATTTTACATTTATGGTATGTGTAACAAATGATCTGTGGCTGGGAATTGTTAAAGTAGTGGGCTAATTTTTGTGACTGTTTTATTTGTCCTCCCTATATTTTCTCTCCTTCCCTCCTATTTTCCAGCCTTCTTTTCCTCCCTCACCCAATTTTACCAGCTTACATTTTAGCAAATATGTTCATGTACTGGGCACCTGTCCTAAGTATGGGGCTACCGTATCTCATGTGTGCCACAGCGCAATAGAAAGCCTCCTTCCACCGTACATATTTGGCTGGCAACCCACCAGTGTCAGACAGTTTGTGGTCCTTCTAGGTGACCCATTCCAACTTCTCAAACTTCTGATCCTTGTTTTGTCCTCATCCTCTGGTACAATGTGCCTCAGTAACTCCGCCCACTGTCTTATTATCAGCACACAGAGAATGTCACAAGGGGAGCAAAATGTCGATGATCCTCCTGTCTGTTGTGTGCATGCAGCTCAGAGCTCAGGACCTCACTGAAGCCCTGAGCAGCTGTAGGAAGCAGGGGCTGTTATCCTAACTCTTGCACTAAGTTGCTCTCCCAGTAAAGAAATAAGAACGCAGGACAGGTACAACCACAACAAGGAAGATTATGTTTTTCTACCAAAACATTCCTGGAAGAAAATATGCCTTCTCTAAGATAAAGCTGATGTTTGTGGCTGAAAAACCTTTTCTCAGGACCTAGGAAGCACAGAATTTGCTCCAAAGGTCAAGTAGACTTACTGAAGGTTAGAGCCCCATGTCATCGTGGATGCAAAGTAGGATGTGTATGTGACTTTGTTCCTTTCAGCTATTTCCAAAAGCATGTGGAACGTCTTACAGTGTTTTCGAAATCCTTCCCTTCCCACATCTCCCTCATCTACTTTTTTTTGGGGGGTGGGGGTGGGGCAGAGCCAGGGATTGAACTCAGGCCCTTGTGCTTGCCAGGCAAGCACTTATTCTATGAACCATCTCCCAGGCACATCTAAAATGACCAGAACTCTCCTCACCCAGGGTTTTCTGAGCACCATCCCTCCTTCTTTGTTTCTGCTATCAGCAGCGGCTCAGCATTGACAACCAGAATGGCCTAGGACTATGTCCTACTCCTAGCACTTCCCTCCCTCAGGCCTGACGATGCCCTCAGGACATTCTTCCATTCAAAGTAGCTTCCGGTTCAGAACTTGCTCCTGCGGCAGTGACTGGAACTTGCTTCTAAGCAGAGACTTCTCCGTGTGTTCTGTTTGGAACTACAAGTTTAGCGCCTCCTCTCAGAGGGGATCATTTTGGCCATGGCTAATTCCTTTCACAGGACTTTGAACACCATTTTAAATTTTCTTTTAAACTTTAATCATAATTAGTGTTCAAAAGAGTCATCAGTTTTCACACTGCTTCATTGATTTATTAATGTTTCTAGGTAATACATTTAAACACAATGGATTGTTTGGCTAAAGTGAGAGGACTCTTCAAATGTTAAAAAAAGGTTTTTTTCTGACATCCAGCCATAATTTCTTCATGAATGTCTGAAATGACATGTCTGCTTTAGGTTTGCATTTCTGACTATTAAAACAAAATTTTGATATCTCGCATTGACAGGGTTTCCTCAATATTTCTTCAGAAACATCATATTGAGGTAAATATATATCATTATCTTTTGTAGGGTTTAGTTACAGGTTATGAAATCAACATCACACAAATATTCAAAACCTGTGAGGTGTTTAAGTCCCCTGTAACATTTGCTGAAATCCTAAAATAAAGATTACAAAATGCACATTTAAAAATTGCTTGTTTATTGTTAGTATCATGATAGGTCAATTAAAGCCTTTCAGAAATCTGCCCTTAACTCACTTTACCTCTTTGGGTGTATTGGCTTATCTTTTTCTTTAGAATATATGATTTTGTTCATATTGCGCTGAATATAAAATAAACAATGAACGTAGTATAGGTGGAAAGAGAAGCAGTCTCATTACACTTTGAAAAATGTCACGTTGCTTTTATGTTGTTGTTGCTAAGGAAATCCTCTCTGGGTCTCCCAGGTAATCCTTATTGATCTCCTACTGTATCTATATTATAGCTTTCTTTTTTAAGGTCTACCTTTCAAAATATTCTCTATAACGAAACTGTTATACTTGAAAATTCCACCTTCTGGAATATATGGAGTCACAGCTTTGATTTCCTGCCTATTTATTATGAACAGGGCATTATGCTCTACTCTAATTTCTGCCACAGGCAGCCCTTTTAATAACAAGCATTGTTATTCCTCTTTTCACATGAGGAAACTAACAAGGGGCGAGCATAAGCTGCCTACTTGGGGTCGCATTGCTTTGGTCCTA